CCGCGGTGGGGTCGCTCCCCCGCCGCCGTCGCGCCGGCTCCGGGACTAACTCACCCCTCTCCCCCGGGACTACCCCGGGACGCTGCTGAGCCGCGACCCGCCTTGGAACCGTCCTCAGCGGGCCGGGCCGGGTGGCCCCAGCGCCGCCCTGCCCACCCAGACTGGACGCCCTTTCGCCCCAGGCTCCGCTCAAGAGTAGCACCCAGCCCCTTTTCAGACACCCCCTCCGGTGCCCACATTGCCACTTTCTGAGGGAAGACCACGTTTCAGCGACCCAGTCACCTGCTCCTCCCACCTACGCCCCCGAGAGAGCAGAGAGGCTCCCCCCCCCCCCCCCCCCCCCCCTCCTGTCTTGAAGGCTCGCCCTCCGCCCGGCCCCTGCCCTGCTGGAGATCCCGGCGGCCCGGCCTCGGCTACCCTTAACTTCAGCGTGGAACCCCGGCTTCCTTTCCTACAGAAATTAAGAGAAGTGTCTTTTAAGTAGGGATGCGGTATTTTTGTTTGTTTGTTTGTTGGCAGACCGGTTAAGAAGACCCTGCACTTGTCTTTGAACATGATTCTGCAGATTAAGACTTCAAATTGCCTATGAAGTTTGCATGTTTACTTGGAACCTTTTTGAATGTCTCAGTGGGTTTTGATCCAGGCTTGTGAAACTTTTATGAAGTAATCTGACTTCATAATCTGACACTGGGAAACTAAGTACTTGAATTTCAGCGTTTTTGGATTTATAATCAGGGGTTTTCACTTATTGAATCTCTAGTATGTGCAAGTCACTGCACTGTGCCAGCCAGTACACCCTGAAATGCTAAGATGAGAACTTGGGAATCTTGTTGGGAAAACAGCCTTAAAAACACAAAGTGACATTGCAAGTGCAAACAAAATAGCACAACATGCATAACTGGTAGTTGGATTAGTAGAACAGTTCACAGATGCCCTAGGAATTCAAGAATGAGGTTATTACTGGGTACTTGGAGATGGGGAGGCTTCCTCTTCACCAAGGAGCTTGGACCAGTTCCTGGAGGACCACATTTGTAAAAGCAAATTTAACAATAAGGGAAAGATTTAAAGAAGTTCCAGGGGACAGCCTGACTGAAGGCAGCACTTGTTGGAAGGCTGACAAATGTGGATTGGGAGAAAAGGGGAAGAAGAGGGTAGGGACCCATAGTCAGAAGACAATGTTGATGGACCAAGAAATAGAGGTAGGGCCAGCTTGGTGGCATGGTGGTAATTCCCTGCTCAAGGGAAGCCAGACCCCACTTATTGATCATGGTTTAATTCCTGGCCTGATCACCTAGAACATGCTGGGTGCGTGTACACATGCCCAAGATCCAGGAGCTGGATTGCTGGAAGGTGCTTCTCACTTTCTCTCTCATGTGCATATTCATCATGAGTGAAGGAAAACAAAACAAAACAAAACAAAATGCTGAGATGTGAGTCTGTTTCTTAAAGTTTTAATCATTATCAATAGAAGAACTGAGAAAATGTTAATATACTGGAAGGACAGAAGTAAATGAACTGTGTTCACAGCAGGAAGTCAGAAGATACGGTGAAAATGAATAAATCCAAAAAGTGTAAAAATTGTAAAAATAATGTAAAGAAGTATATTCTTAGAGTAATATCCATTAGAAATTGAGTTAGGAATCAGAATGAAGTTAGGAAAGCCTTACTTTCTGGGGTGACCAGGCAGAGGACTAATTCTGTGACCAAATTCATGTTATTTTGTTGTTAAAATGCGTTTTAGGAGCCAGCAGGTGGTGTGGTGGTTAAGTGTGCTGGACTCCCACATGACTAAATGCATTTCGAGTCCCCAACCTGGTGGCTTACTTTCTCACTTTCCTTCTCTCTCTCTCTCTCTTTCTCACTCTCACTCTCTCACTTTGCCCTCTCTGGGCAAATTAAATAAATAAAGTAATTAAATAAATAAAGTTCAACAAAATGCTTTTTAAAATTAAAAAAAAAATTTATTTGTTCCTTTCTAACATGAGCAAGAGAGAGAAACAGCACCCCAACAAGTGTTCACCCCCAGTCCCAGCTCTGGATTATGGGCTTTTTCATGCCACGAATACTAAGTGACATTTTCAGAAGGAAACCCAAAACTCGCCCATGTGGGTCGCAGAACGTCGTGTTTTACGGCTGTGTCACTGTCTGACCCCTCAACAGGGTCTCACACCACTATCCTCCCTCCAACCTTCTCTACTGATGGTCCCAGGAACTGAACCTTGGTCTTGCATGTAGCTTTAGGTTCACTGAGCAGTGCACTGCTGCTGTCTCGCTGTATCTAGGCCTTCATTTTTTTTTTTTTTAAATAGATTTTTGCTATAATGCACGTGGGCTCACCGGAGAGACAGAGAGAGATAGAAAATGAAAAATCACCCCCTAATGGGGATGGCCACAATGCAGTCCCTTCTCCATTCTCTCGGAATATTGGGTATGTACCCACACACCCCTGGCATGACATTTAAGTGGCTGGGTCCAGGACTTGAACTGCAGTCAACTTTCTGAGAGTCCAGTGATAACAACTGTTATACCATTTGCTGGTCCCCAGCTTAAAATATTTTTAAAGAATCATTTGAAATCAGATTGTAGAGAGAGGACTCTGAATATGAGGCAAATGGAATTTATTTTACTAATTATGGAAGGTTATGGCTGGTTTTATAAGCATGCTTAAGAGGATCTATGAAGGCTATTGAATGGCTTGTAGAGGGCTAGAGGCAGAAGACAGGGAGGATTCACAACGGACAGGGAAGGGCCTGAACGAGGCTTAGGGTTACTGGGAAGGGAAAGGCCCAATTGAAAAGCATGTTGGAAAGGACAGATTAGCAGATTTGATGATTAAATAGAAGTCAGTGTAGAGAAGAAAAAGAATGCAAAAGTTATTAAAAAATATTTTAACTCCTTTGAAGTCAAGCGTATCAGAAACTACATATAAATTTCTTCTCAGAACATCATTGTAATTTATCCTAAATATTTTTGTTTCAAAAGCGCCTTGTATTTCTGCTTTTCCAAGAGATGCATAATTTTGGTATGCTTTGCTTAGCTGGTTTATTAATTTGCTATGTTTGTCATTCAAGTGTTTACTCTCATTCTATTTGTAAGACATTGTGTTAGGTATTTTTGAGATTAAGTTTTGCTTCAAAGAATAAGGTAGCCCTCAAACAAAAAGGCTGTTTTTCATGGTATTAAAAAATAAAGAAGAAGGGACCAGCAGTTAGCATAATGGCTATGTTGCTGGACTCCCATCTAGTCGACCATGATTCGGAGTCCCAGACCCGGAGTCTTAAACACACTGGGCACATAAGCATCTGTACCCAAGATCCTGAGAGGAGAATGGAGGAGAAGGGATTGCGACATGGCCATCCCCCCTGGGGGATGATTTCTCACTGTCTCTCTGTCTCTCCTTGTCTTTCTGGCGAGTACACGTGCCCTAAAGCAAAAAACCTCTTCAAAAAAACAAAAATAATAAAGAAGGAAAGAAGTTATCGTTCTTTCATTGAGGAACTGAGAACAATTTCCAGTGCGGTTAACAGTCCTTTCTAGTGAGATGACTCCTTGCATCTGACAAACTTTCAATAGGGGATTTGATAGAAATTCTCCCAAGTACTTTGCCATGTGAACAAGGCAGGAATGTTTCCTGCCCTGGTGGCATGTGCAGGCTGTGAGGACACACAGATTGGAACACAAGTGGTTTCATTGTGGTAGAGGACGGCTGTCTGAGGATAAATACAAGGTGCTTGTGAGCATATATACCCATCCTGGATGAGGTTTATGTGTTGCTAGGAAAGAATGGGAGAACTATCTAGGAAATGCATCCCTGAAGAAGTGACATTTAGGTGGCCAAAAAGTGACAAGGTAGTTAAGGCACTGGATTCCCACATGGCCAACTACAGTTCTAGTCCCAGGCCTGTTGATTTGAAAATCACACTGGACACATGTGCATGCTTGCCCAAATCTCAAAAGGAGAATGGAGGAGAAGGGGTTGTGGTGTGGCTATTGCTTCTGGGAGCAGTTTATCAATTTTCCTCTCTCTGTCTCTCTCCAGTGAGTATGCACCCTATGGCAAAAACCTAAAAGTAAAAAGAAAAAATGTGACATTTAGGTGGAGATCTAAGGTGGGAATGTAGGGAACACAAAAAGAGGCAAAAGAAAACAGGAAAGAGGAAGAAATTGACCAGGTAGTAGAAGCCAGGTCTCAAAAGTTGTAGTAAACTGGGTTAAGATCTGAAACTGAGGGCATTGGTGAGCCATTGAGTAAGAAGCAGGGGAGTGATAGATTTGTGTTTTTCAAGTATCTCTCTCTGTAGTGGGTAGAATATATTCGTGTGTGTACGTGTGTGTGTGGGGCATGTTGGGGGAATCAGAAGTGGCTGTTGGGAGGCCAGGAGGCTAGAGAACATTGAAAATGCTGGAGGATGATAGGAGCTGGGATGGAAAATTTTAAATGAGTTGGGGGAGTGGCTTAGAGATGAGTAGACAGTGATGAAGAGGGAGAGAGGGTGGTACTTACTGACTTATGGCATTTGCCATAAGAGGTCTCTCATAGATTCTGTCCTCTACTTCTGTGATGACTGATTTTTTGTGACTTTATTTTAACAGATAAAAATCTGGATAATGCCGCAGAAGCAGCCGAGCAGTTTAAATTAATCCAAGCAGCGTATGATGTGTTGAGTGACCCTCAGGAAAGAGCATGGTGAGCATCACACTGTCGTAGTGTATTTTCTTGAGAGGAATTGTCAATATAAGGACGTGTTGTTGTTGTTGTTTAAATTTAATACATTCCATGGTTTTGAGTGTTTCCTGAAGCATGTCTCACCGTCTCATGATAGAAAATATAATATTTTGATAAGTAGGGACTTCAAAGATGATTACTTCTATTTGATATTATAGATGATGGAACAGTGATTTCTCATTAAATAGGGCCCTGTGGTATATGATAAATATATAGATATCAGACAGGAAGAACATTGGTCCTTAAAAACAGATATTGTGTTTTAATTAAATAAATTTCAAGAGGGTGTGTATGTGTATTTGGCAGAGAGCGAGAAACAACTTCCAATGAGGCGTGGTGACACTGCAGTTCTTTTTTCTTCCATTTCTTCATTCTGTCCAGACTTTTGGCATACACAGAAGCCAGCAGGTTTTTCAGAGCTCTGAGCTCTGAGATTGGGATGTGAGCTACAGTTGTCCATGTGGGATCTGGCTCCTGATCCATGGTGCTTAGCCACTACACTAGAGGGCCAGCCCAGATACTTTGTTTTAATACAAGAATCGTAGTATTTTTTATGAAACTACTTTGCATGAATAATTAAGCATCTACATCTATTACAGATACTTTTACTGATGATGATATGGTAATTTAATACTATTTACAAACAAAAATTTCTGTGTTTGAAGTTCTGAGTTTTCAGGTCTCAATTAACCTTTTGCTGTGAAAGTATAGGTTTTAGCCATGACCTAAACATGCACAATCCTGCCAATGAGCAGCTGTAGTGGTGGAAGCCTAGTCATTTTCAGTGTAGGAGATCTGGTTTTGAATTCTAGCCTCACTGCTTACAGCTGGCACTATGATTATTAATGACAAGTTATTTAATATTGTTGAGCTTCAATTTCGTACGATGTCAAAGAGCAATAATAATGACCTTTACAGAGTTATTATGAGGAGTGATTGTGTTTGTACAAGGCTCCTAGATTAAGTTTATGTAAACATAGAGTCTTATTCTGGCACATGTTGGTAAATTCCCAGATCACAAATGTGTAATTAGTCTATATGTCAGATTATGTGCAGTTCTGTCCTATTGTTTCTTTCTTTCTTTTTTTTTCCCCGAAGGGTGTATGGCCTTGCCAGAGAGAGGGACAGTGAAAACGCATTCCCCCAGAAGGGATGGCCACACTGCAGTCCCTTCTCCATTCTCCTCTTACGATGTTGGGCACAAATGTACATGTGCCAGCATGTTTTTTTCAAGCTGCTGGCTCCATGACTTTAACCATAACCACACAGTTGGCCATCCAGCAACCTTAATCACCATGCCACTGACTGGCCCTAGCACTATCCTAAGTAGTAATGTTTTCTCTCCTGTGGAAATGGAACTACCTTTTTGGAAGAGTCATGGAAATTCTCTGGCTGTTTAAATTCCCCTGTTCAAGCGGGCTAGCTTTGTATAATATATTAGAGGTTACAGGCATAGTTTTAATCTGCAGTTCTGTGAAAGATGATTATGTCTTTTTATGTTGCTATTACTTTAAAATTTTTTGGTTGGATTGGACTCATTGAAATGTATAATAATGTTTTGGCTGTCTCATAGTAAGAATTTCTTTTGGATTCTTATTTATTCGGACTCACTGGTGCTAATTTTATTTTTAGGTATGATAATCATAGAGAGGCGCTACTTAAAGGTGGGCTTGATGGAGAATATCAAGATGACAGCTTAGATCTGCTTCACTATTTTACTGGTGCCTGTTACTCTGGTTATGGAGATGATGAAAAGGTAACATAAATTAATCACTTATAATTTCTTTTTTTTATATTTTTATTTTTTTATTTTGAGAGATTTTCACTGTAGGGCGCGTGCGCTCGCCAGACAGACAGAGAGAGACAGAGAGACAGAAAGCGAGAAATCACCCCCCAGGGGGGATGGTCACGCCACAATCCCTTCTCCTCCATTCTCCTCTCGGGATCTTGGGGACGCACGCACACGCGCCCAATGTGAGTTTTAAGCCACCAGGTCCGGGATGCGAACCACGGTTGACTACATGGGAGTCCAGCGACATAGCCATTACGCTGACTGCTGGTTCCCATCACTTATAATTTCTAATTAGACATTTAAGTAAGACTCAAACACAAAGAGAGTTCCTAAAATTATTCTATAATGGAAAGTAAAGCCATATTCATTTTATAAGCTGAAAACATATTGCCTTCATAGTTAAATACTGTCAATATGTGAAAACTTCTGATTGAGACTTAACTGTACTTGCAGTGACAGAGCTTGGTCCTGTAAGTCTTTGTTGCAGTTTTTTGTTGCACACTTTTAACTCTTATCCTATGATTAGGCTACAGAATTTTTTTTTTAAATTATTATTTAATTTTATTTATTCTTTCATTTATTTTAATTTGACCAGAGAAAAACAGAGAGAGAGAGAGAGAGAGAGAAAGGGATAAAGGAAGCTGTCAGGTTCAGGACTCGAACTGTGTTTGGACATGTGGGCGTGTCCAGCACCTTAACCACCATGCCACCTACTGGTCCCAGGCTACAGAAGTTTTAAGAGTTTGCATTTCTGTTATTATTTCTTTTAGGGTTTTTATACAGTGTATCGTAATGTTTTTGAAATGATTGCAAAGGAAGAATTAGAGTCTGTGTTAGAAGAAGATATTGAGGAATTCCCAACTTTTGGAGACTCCCAGAGTGACTATGATACGGTAAGAGAAAAAGGCATAGCATTTTAAAATTAGCATTTAGGACTATGTTTTTTCCTTATTTTCTTACTTTAAAAAAATTGGTTCTGGTTCTTGGTTCTATCCAGGGAACACACTTTTTCTCCCTTCCTTCTTGAGGGAGCATTAGCCCTCTTACAGCCTCCCCTCATTTCTCTCTTTCATGACCATGGTCGCATTCACTGGTCAGTGGAAACAGCAGTAAGATTGTTTTTCCATTCTCATTAAATTTGAATAGTGATTTATTCTGGAAAGCCATAGAAAGACTCTCTTTTCCATTCATTAATAGAACTGTGATACACATGAAAAAAAGAGAACTAGGAGATGTTTTTGCATTGTTAATATTTGCTGCTTCTCTAAAACCAGTAAAAACCCAGAATTTTACCTCTTTTCTTTGTCACCAGGTAGTCCATCCTTTCTATGCTTATTGGCAGAGTTTCTGCACTCAAAAGAATTTTGCTTGGAAGGAAGAATATGATACAAGGCAAGCTTCAAACCGCTGGGAAAAACGAGCCATGGAAAAAGAGAACAAAAAGATTCGGGACAAAGCAAGGAAAGAGAAGAACGAGCTTGTCCGGCAGCTTGTGGCTTTCATCCGGAAAAGAGATAGAAGAGTGCAGGCACATCGCAAGCTGGTGGAAGAGCAGAATGCTGAGAAGGCAAGGAAGGCTGAGGAGATGCGGCGGCAGCAGAAGCTGAAGCAGGCCAAGTATGGATATGTGGCTGGGTCCTTTCGTCTATAGGTGGTGATCGGGGGGATCAGAGGAACATTAGTAGACACCTCATGTGTTCAGTCATCCTGGCTTCATCCTTAAAAAAATCATGGCATTACTGGGTAGTTTTTTATATACTGTGTACAAATTTTTATTTTGAATTGGATGGTTTCCTTCAGAGTTCCTTTATGCTTGAAATTCTTTACAGATTGTTCTGAAATTGAGTAATAACTAATATTAATTGAATTCTTACTTTGTGTAGGGCTTTGTTACATGATGCTGTAAAGTAACTATGTTTTTGTCCTCTTCTTTTGAGGAAGTGAGGCAGACATGCTCAAGATCACATAGCTAGTACATTGTAGAACCCAAAGATGGACCTGAGAAGCCTGACTCCAGAGTCTCTGCTTTTCCCCACCATGTACTCCTGCCCCTTTGTTCATAGACTCTGAGATATTCAGTTCACTTTAGTTCCTTTAAGTTTTGTTGTTAAGACTTACTATAGGGACCAGCAGTTGACGTAATGGCTATGTCGCTGGACTCCCACGTAGTCGACCGCAGTTCAAGTCCTGAACCCAGTTCGAGTCCTGAACCCAGTGGCTTAAACTCATGCTGGGCACATGTGTGTGCATGTCCAAGATCCCAAGAGGAGAATGGAGGAGAAGGGATTATAGCGTGGCCATCCCCCCTCGGGGGGTGATTTCTCGCTTTCTGTTTTTCTGTCACTCTCTGTCTTCCTTGTGAGCGCACGTGCCCTATAGCAAAAACCTCTCCCCCCCAAAAAAAGACATACTGTAAAAGCCATGTGTCCAGAGCATTATAGCATTCTTATAAAAATTATTCACTTTTTTTTTTTAACCTACCCTAGCCCTCATCTTTTGAAAATTAACACTTTATTTCATGGTTTGGACTTAAAATCTCCTGAATAAACTTTTTCTTTTAAGTCTATTTTATGAAAGGCAAATAAAGAGACAGAGGGACAGCACTCCCAGCAGGGTTTTGTCACTGCGATCCACCCTCAACCAGTGTCACACATACCTGGCACACTCAGGGAGGTCTCTAGATGCAAACCTAGAAGCTTCTCATGATGGTAGCCTCTAAGAGCATCCTGTTTTACTGCTCTATCTCCATTCTAGCCACAACTGAGCATTTTCAATAAGTTGCTAAATGATGTATGTTCTCAAGTCTATTATCTAGTGGAGCAGTTAAAATCAACCACGTAACAGGTAATAGGTTTAAATGACTTTGCTCCAGTTTCACCTAAGCACAGCTTTAAGATTATAAGCATTGACAACTTAGGAGGGGATGACTCTTTAGGGGATGAATTTTAATCCTCAGAACTAAGTAAAACCCATGTGGGGACATGCTCGTCAGTGGGAGTAAGACTGCTGTGTATACCTAGACTGGCAGAGCAGTACAGAGAACAGAGCTGGATGACTATGGCCAACTTGGAGAAGGAGCTCCAGGAGATGGAGGCACAGTATGAAAAGGAGTTTGGAGATGGATCGGATGAAGATGAAGCGGAGGAGCATGAGCTCAGAGATGGGCAGGATGGTAATTACCTCCATTTACTAAGAAATTTTAGGAAAAAAACACTTCTTGTGCATAGCAGAGTGTGTACTCAGATGCCCAGGGGTGTCAGTAAGGCAGTAAGGAAGGGGAGAGCAAATGAAAACTTGCAGAACATCTGAGTTCGAGATGTAAGTTGCCAGGACCATGCCAGAGTTTTTGTTTGTTTCTTAAAGGAAAGCTAAAAAAATCTAGATTTTGATGTGCATCTCCCAATGTTTAAATGTGACAAATAATTAAAAATTGAAAGCAAGATTGCATGGGCCAAACACAGCCTATTAAAGTAGTCTAACTAAGATCATTGGATTAGCAAATTCTTTTTGACCATGATCTAAATGATTTGTGCTTCTGGCTGCACAAAAGTAATTAGAAGTGAGTGTTTTGACAAGTGTGACTGATTGAGTATTAAAGAAAATTCAGTTAAGCATACATAGGTTTAATAGCAGCTATTTCCAGAAAGGTTTATATTGTGCAGGAGTTTGTGGTATATATAAATTCTTCTTGCTTCTAAGTTTGTAGGGAGGCTCCTGTTGGTGCCAAAATGTTTGTTTTCTATTCCTGTATCACTAGAGTATAAGCATGTGAAGACCCTGGAAGGGTCGTTGTTGAGGATATCTGCAAACCTGATGTTCTCTACTGTCTCCAGCTATTCTGTGAGAAATAAAATCGAATGATCTATGGAACAGCAGATGGCATAATGGTATAGTGCTGGACTCCCAAAATTTGGCCCTGACTCAAGTCCCAGACCAGCAGCTTAAAACTCAAACCATGCGTGTGTGCATGCACACCCAAAATCCCTAGAGGAATGGAGAAGTAGGGATTGCAGCGTGGCCATCCATTCTGGGTGATAATTTCTTGTTTTCTGTCTCTTCCCATGTGCCCTATAAAAAAAAGTCTCTTAAGGGACCAGCATAGCTATGTTGCTGGTTGCTGGACTCCCATGTAGTCGACCATTGTTGGAATCCCGGACCTCGTGGCTTAAACTCAGGACAGGTGTGTGTACGTGCCCAAGATCCCGAGAGGAGGATGGAGGAGAAGGGATTGCGGGTGGCCATGCCCCCTGGGAGGTGATTTCTCACTTTCTGTTTCTCTGTCTTTTTCTGTCTTTCTGGCAAATGCACGCGCCTTACAGCTAAAACCTCTCCAAAAAAAAAAAAAAACTCTTAAAAAAAAATGAATGATCTAAACATAGTTTATCAATTTTAACTTACCATCAAATGTGTTTATCAGACTAATAGCCCAAATAATAAATGACAAGCTTTTATTTCTTCAACGTGCTTAGAAAATGACATGTTTTATTAGTAAATCAGAAATAGCATGTGTAAAAGTGCTTCAAAATTGTAAAACACTATAAATATGAGGTCATCAGGAAAGTCATGCCGTATTTTTCTGCTTTTCTATGCAAAAATGTGTCTTGATTTTCTTGATAACCCAATAGTTTCAAAATTTATAAAGTTCTTTCACAGGTAAGATCTTGCTTGCTTCTTCACACAATATACTGTAAATATAGATGTGCTCATGGAATTATCTCTGTTTTACCAGTGAAGAAACTAAGCCTCTGGAAAGCTATGGGATATACTTGAGGACTTATGACCCTCTTTACATCCAGGTTTAACTTCAAATCCAGAGTTCTTTATTAAATGTCATGACTTTTCCAACAACCCAATAGTTAAAGAGTATCTCATGTATACAATATGTCGAAGGTAGACACATAATGGAAAATAACATTATACAGTTAGGATATGTTTTGATCATTTATGATTTCAATAAAAATGTCCTTCAAAATCATCTTAATATAAGTTATTACAGAGAACCAAAATGTAGAATATTGAAGAGTTGCTTCAGGATCTTTCTTGATCCTATAATAAATTCCAAATGCCAATCATATTTTGACATTTTGATAATAATTATACTGTTATAATAAAGCCTCAATCTTAGAAAATCTGTTAAGATGTTATCTTTACATATAATAGGTTCTTTTGTGATTTACTTGTCTAATAAAGATGGAATGTTATAAGGCATGTTTATTTAAACATTTAAGAGTCGATAGTATTTGTAAATGAGTTTGAACCAAATCTGGTTCAAGAGATAAACTAAAGAAAACTTTATGGGAAAAACTGCTTCATGTTAGAACTATTAAAGTGGCATTTGAATTTCTGTTAGATTTTTGCTATAGAGCACGTGTGCTTGCTGGAGAAACAAAGACAGAGAGACAGAAAGTAAGAAATCACCACCAAGGGGGCATTGCCACACTACAATCCCTTTTTCTCCATTTTCCTCTAGGGATTTTGGGCACTTGCACACACACACAGTCTGAGTTTTAAGCTGCCAGGTCTGGGACTCGAACTGTAGTTGGCTACGTGGGTGTCCAGTGACATAACCATTATACCATCTGCTGGTTGCAACATTTGATTTTCTAAACTTGGCTCACACCTGGACTTAGAGGATTTTTTAGTTTTCTTCTAAATAGACTTATGAAAAGAACTTGAAAGATAAGGTGATATATGTGAAAGTTTATTTATCCTTATAGTACAGTGTTGCTTTTAAAAGGCCAATTCAACTCCTGATAAATGTTTTTTTTTAATAAATACAAAGATTTTCATTTCTAACTTGTCATTAGTGGAGACATAATTTGTTGACCTAGTTTGATTCGCATTCTAATTCAACAGGATTCTAACTCTAGACTTCCCTGTCGTAGGTGGAGCTAGTGACGAGGCCGAGGATGCTGAACTTTACGATGCCCTTTATTGCCCTGCGTGTGACAAATCTTTCAAGACAGAAAAAGCGTAAGTTTAATATCTTTTTTTTTAAGAGGTTTTACTATAGGGCACTTGTGCTCGCCAGAAAGACAGAGAGAGACAGACTGAAAGTGAGAAATCACCCCCCAGGGCGGATAGCCACATTGCAATCCCTTCTCCTCCATTCTCCTCTCAGGATCCTGGGCTCACACGCACACATGCTTGGTGTGAGTTTAAACCAGCAGGTCCAGGACTCGAACCATGGTCAACTACATGAGAGTCCAGTGATGTAGCCATTATATCATCTGCTGGTCACAAGTTTAATATCTTTGAATGCACCTTTTCTTTTGTGGTGAAGTATAACTTTTTTTTTTTTAAAGAATTATTTAATTTTATTTTTTATTATTATTCTGGGGAGAGAGAGAGAAAGCCACTAGGTCTGGGACTTGAACAGTAGTCAGCCATATGGGAGTTCAGTGCCTTAACTATGCCACCTACCGGCCCTGAAGCATAGCATTTTGAAAGTCTAAACGAACATAAGTTTTCTCAGCCAGGTAGTGCATTCCATAGCATCCTGGACTGAGGGCTGGAAGCCCCGTGGCTGACCACAGGTTTTGATCTTTGGGTTCCCCAGGAAACATGCTGGGCAAACCTGTGACAAGACCTTGTTGAGGTGCTTTCTCTCACTTCTTCCCACTCTTTTCTCACATGTACATGCACGTTTTATATCATATGTTTATATCATAAATAAAAACAAACAAAACAACACAGCAGTTTGATGTCTAGCCCCCACACATGATCTTGGGAAAAACTGTCCAGCTGGGGAGGAAGTAGTTGTACCAACAGTTAAGTCTCTTGGGCTGATTTTTGTTTACCTCAGTATTCCCATGGAATAGCTGCCTTTTAAACACAGGAGGAATTGTCACCTACTTTGGCAAAGAAGGCATAGTCACACGCAAGGAGGCTGGATTACCTCTAGTCGTCTCTCTCCGTCATTGGTGTTAGACTCAGCTCCAGCTGTCCCATGCAGGTGCTTGCTTCGTGGAGCTAGGGACTTTCAGTCTGTCCTGCCTAGAGTATATTTGCTGAAGGGGAAGCACTTTTCCCTTATGGAAACAGTATTGAAGAGAGAAATGCTAAAAGAGGAGGAAAACGGATCAGGAGGTGGTATAATGGTTAAGGTGTTGACTCCCACATGGCCAACCGTAGTTCAATTCCTGGACCTGGTGGCTTTAAAATCATACCAACTGCATGTGTGTGCATACCCAAAATCCCAAGAGGAGACTAGAGAAAGGATTGTGGCATGGCCATTACCCTGGGGTGGGAGGGTATGATTTCTCACTTTCTGACTTTCTGTCTCTCTCTGGCAAACGTATGCCCTCTATGGCAAAAAATCCTGAAAAAAGAGAGGAGGGGAAAAAGAGGGAGAAAATGAGTGTAGAATCAGCAAGGGAAAAAAAAGCAAAAAATGCCTTCAGGAAGAAAGACCAAAGGATAAGAATGAGAATGTTGAGTCAGAAATACTATTATTGTATCACCTGAAGGGGAGATAACAGCAAGAGAGGTGAGGAAAGGCAGAAGAATCAGAAATAAGCAGGAAAAGAAAACGTAACAAGGAAGATTTTTTAAAAATTACTTTTTATTTGCAAGTAATGCCACATTTAAAGAGAAGTTGCAACAGCAGAGTATAGCCCTGCTAAAAAAAAATAGATTATAGCCCTCCTGATTTACCCCTGGCTGACATTTTGCCTATTTGCCTCTACATGCTTTTTCTACACACACACACACACACACATACACACACACACACACGGAGTTTTCAGTTTTCTCCTGAGTAATTTGAAAATAAGTTATATATATAAACCTCTGTTATTTCTAAATATCTCATTAGATAATTATATATTTCTTAAGAATAAGGGTATTTTGGGGGACTAGCAGTTAGCGTAATGGCTATGTCGCTGGACTCCCACGTAGTCGACCGCGGTTGTGTCCCGGACCCGGTGGCTTAAAACTCACGCCGGGCGCGTGTGCGTGCGTGCCCAAAATCCCGAGAGGAGAATGGAGGAGAAGGGATTGCGGC